ACAATGGCGTGGGCCCTCTCTCACTTCAAGGGGTGTAAATTTGACTTGACCCATGTCGGGTCTCGTGGGCTCCCTCCAAATTCGGGTCAGGTCAAGCGGTCCATAGGCCAGAAAATTAAGCCCAAGCCTAGGCCCAGGACATATTCGGGTCTTGGATGAGGTGATGGGTTAGGCCTTGTTTTTTTATTTTTTATACCAAATTTTTTTTATTTTCCACAGAAAGAGATATTGGGCCTTGGCGAACCGGACTTTGAGTGGGCCTTAAGCAGGCCAATAGGCCTAGTCATGGGTCGATCAAGCCGGGTCAGGCTTCAAAATGATGGTCTAGTCCCAGGCCTAGGGTCTTGGGTTGGGCTCGGGCCCAAACAAGCCTAAACGGACCAGGCCCACCTCGAACTGCGGAAAGGCTTTGGACCGGTCACAAGTCACGGGGCCATTTTTACACTCCTATCTCATTTCTTCTACAAAGACCACAAAGTTGGGAGTAAAAGATTTCACCTAAAATATAGAGTTAGCTCATTCTTTGTCTACATTTACTTTTCAAATTTGACCTGGGTTATTCAAATTCAAATATAAATTAATATTTATTTTTAATAATATATCAAATATATTAAGTTATTTAAATAATTTTTTTTCTATTTTTTTACATATTTTTTCGTAAAAATAATATTAAAAAAAATTGATCTAAAACATACTAATTTTTGTTTACCTCATATGTTAATCAAAAAATTAAAAAATTATTAAAATAACCTATTCTCAAACGAGACCTTATTATTATGAGAAATGAGATGCTGAACTTAACATATAGCCTTTGACTTTTTGACTATTTTAACGTAAGCTAAAAAGTCTCGTTTAGAATGTATCTTTTTTTTTTTTTTCACTTTTTGACTTTTGTGAGAGAAAAAATAAAATAATTATGATTTAGATGTAATCTTTTATCTTATTAATTTTTTAGCTTATCTTATCTTTTTGTAACTAAAATAATCTCTAGCTCACATGCCAAACATAGCCATACTATATAAGGGGTTGTTTGGGGTGTCCTAAATAAGTGCACTTTTTGTCCTTTTGGACTAAAAAATTGAGGTTGAAAATATGGATGTTTGGGTTAACTTTTTGACTTTTTATGGAAAAATGTGTAATAAAAAATTGTAAAAATTGATTTGTAGGGAAGAATTCGAATTGGGAGTTGTGCAGCCGTAATTGTTGACTTTTAAATCAGCTCGGCAGTGGGGCTGTCATATTGTTGGTAAATGATAATTTTGCCTCTTTGTATCAATTTTGAAAAAAGTGAGGTTAGGGATAAAATTGTCATTTCAGTTTTAAATATCATTTTAAATATATTTTTCAATACAACAATTTCAATAAAAATCTATCACATCTTCCCAAATACAAAAACTAAAATAACCTACTAAAATAGTCAAAAAATCAAAACACTTAAAAAATAGCTATTTCCTAAACACCCACAAAATATTGCCAAAACTATCTAAAATAAAGTAATGTTGTTATAAAGTGGGTGTTTGAGAAGTGGATTTTTTTGTAGGTTTTTTTAGTTGTAGGATATTATTGGAGAAAAAAAATTGTGTTTGAAAAAATAGTCGGGGTTTTTTTTATGGTTGGATGTGATGTTTGTGAGAGAAAAAGTGAAATGATTATGGGGTTTGATGTAATATTTTGTTTGGATTTTTTTTTTTTTGTAACCAATTTTTCTTTTAGTGAAAAAAAAATCCAAAAAATTTCTTCCGAAACACCACCAAAATCTTAATAAAATGTAAAAAATTATAAAGGGTGTGTTACTAGTTTTTTCTTGCCGGCCATAATGAAATTAAAAAAAAATAAATTAAGATTAAAGTACAAATACAACTTATAAAATTTATTAAATTTACAAATTCTCTAGTTAGACCAACAACTAGAACTATAAGTCTTCTAGTGAAATAATAATTTATTATTTATTTATTTTAATTTTTTTTATATCATACTTAAAATTATGATTGCTAGTCTCTTTCAATATTAAAAAATTGTCAATTTCGTCAGATTTAATGTTCATTGTACATGTAATCTGATTAATAAAATTTACAATTAAATATAAAATTGTGAGTCGATAAAATAATAATCTCAATCCTATCCTATAACCTTGTGTAGACACCCCATTTTTTACGGCCCTTACGACTTGGACGCCATCGCTTGCACACCCAATGATGAGTGTATATGCTTGTCAAATGCTCGAAAATCCTCAGCAGAATGCCACAACTTTGAGCCTTTCAAACCTTGCACCCCTGTTGCCTTGTTTTTGGACCAAAACCTTAGATTTTCAAGCCTGCAATCTCTGGTGGCCTGCCGGCCACTGCTATGGGCTATCGGCCATTGCTCCTGGTTGCCGGCCACTAATGTGTTTTGCACAGATATTTTGTGACAGTTATACCAACTGTTTGCACAGATGTTTGCATCTGCTCCCATGGGTATGGTTGGATGTTTTTTAGGGAGGTTTATGTTTCTCTATATATAGGAGGCCTCCCCTTTTGCCATGGGGTTAGAAAAATTTTGGAGCAAAATTTTTCCTCTCTCTCTACAATTCTCTCTCTTGCAAATTTCTTAACCTTTGCTTAAACACTCTTCACCTTTGTCTATACACTCTTAACCAAACCTCTCCATCTTTGAGCTGAGGTATCTTTGAGCCTTGTTTGAGCTCTTGAGGGTGTGTTTGCCATGTTTTATTGCTTGAAAGTGATCTCCTCTTCAAGAGGTATAAAGTTTTGTCTATTTACTTGTTGTATTTACTATTTTTCAACTGTTTTTGGGCTGTAAAAACTCTATATTTTTTGGCTGAAACTTGGGTTTTAAGGCCAATAAAGGTTGAGAGGTGGTTCACCCTTCTTTACACGTTACTTTCAAGACCTTTACCCTTGTGTTTCCCACCTTTGCACTATTTTTTTTTGAGTTTTTAAATATTGATTTTCAGAGTTATTTTAGTGGTTAAAATCATTGTTTGAAGTCCAAAATTAGAGGGGTTAGCCTCCCCTCCTTGTGTTTTTGCTTACTAGCCTAGCATGATCCATGTTTTAACTTATTATTCTAGCCATTTTTGTTTGAATTCCAGTATATTTTAGGACTTATTCAGGACTGTTTTTAAGTGTTTGATGAATTTGAGCTTTGTTTTGTATGCTTGTAGTGTAATTATCCTCATGAGTTTGGTGTTTTAGGCATTAAACACCATCTTATTTGAGTTGATTACATTTATTTATGGCTTTCCATACTTGTGATCACTCTTAATCACCTCTGTAACCTCCCTCCTTTCTTGGCTTTTGTTTTGCTTTAAAAGTGGTTTCAAACGACTTGTTTGTTTAAGCATGAGATTGAGATATCATGCTTAATGATTTAATCCCTTTGGGGGTTCATTACCAATGGTATGATGACTCTTTCATGCCCGAAGCAACTCTTCGTTTGAGCCATCTTTCCATTAGAGGACTTAAATTCACCTTTGGACTCAATTGACTAAAGAATAGATAATAATCTAAAATGAAGTAATAAAATTGAGGATAAAAAGAGCAAGATAATAATTTGGTTTGGGTTCAATTGGACGTTAATTGAACCCTTCAGTCTTGAGTCGTTTCATACTTATTAGTGATGAAAATGGTTCAAGATTCATTGTCAACTACGTCCATTGATCTTTTATGATAGGGAGGTGGTTTTGAGAGTTTTGTTTTATTGCATTCATTGAATTTGCCCACTTGATTCATAAGCCATCATGCAATGAAATTGCATCCATTGGTGGTTTGTGAAATTAAACTTACTACTCCTTTGAGCTGTTCAAATGATAAGGAAGGGTAAATTGTGCAAACAAACCCTTGAGAATACACTGTCTCTGCTCTATTTGCTCTCTGTTACAGCAGGACAATCCAGTCAACAGTGGCTGGCAGGCTATCATTAGTGTTGTGCTTAAAATAGTAGCTTTGTAATTAATTAGTTAGAATAGCTAATTTGTCTCGTGTTGTAATTATTTTAATTAGCTAGATTAGTTAATTAATTAGTGCATTCGGTTTGTAATAATTAGTTAAGTAGTTTAGCTAGATTACTCATTTGTTGTTGTAATAGCTAATTAGTTTAGTTAGCTAGTTAGTTCATTCGAACCCCTTGTGTGAGGGCGCAATGTTGTAATAATGTATTTGTCTTCCAACTCCAGGTCTTTCTTCCTTTTATTTATCTACTTATGATGGTTAGTTTAGGGCATCATGTTTTGTTTAGCATACTTTATGTTTGCATCAACTTGTATTGCATGCACCGATGCTCAGTTCATCATTCTAACAATGCATTGTCGTTTAAACTACTTCTTTGAATACGTGCTTAGACTGCATGCTATTTAATTGATTCATATTCTATGCTAGTAGTGGGGCCAATTTAGATTGCATATCGCATGTGTTGCATTAGCCATATTGTATAAATTAGGATTATTCATTATTCTAACTTTATCGCTGTTTTGGCTTGGAGTACTAGGTGAGCCTTTACTCGCTTTAGCATATCACATGCGTGTGATTGTTATCATGTCTACACTACAACAAAAATAGTCTTCAGAGACGAAAACTAATGACGAAAATAAATTTTGTCACGAAATACGTATGTTTTAATGATGAAAATAATATTTCATCTCCAAATGTACCATTTTTAGAGACAAAAATAAAATTTCGTCACCAATCTAAATCATAAAAAAAAAAAATTAGGTGATGAAATTATTTTTCGTCATTATCTATATTTTTTTTGTCACCAAAGATTTTCCTGCTAATTTTTTTGGAGGTACCAAAATTTTGAGACTTTTGGTGACGAAAAAATTGGTCACCAATTATAAAATTATTAATGACGAATATGTTTTTGTCACCAATAATTTTTAATATTTTAACATCATTTAGTGACAAAACTATTTTTGTGGCCAGTATTTTTATCTTTGGTGAAGAAAAATTTTTGTCACCAATAAATAATTTAGTTGCTAAATATTTTAGGGGGAAATAAAAATGTATTGGCGCCTATAGAAGCAGATGGACAGCAATCGGTTCTTCTTCTTCTCAAACACACACAATAATTTCTCCATCAAACCTGATTTCACACGCACACACACCTTATACTCATCCATACACACAGTTTCCTCACCGCCGCTGCTACCATTTCATCGATTCACACACATTGTCGCTGTGCCGATCGGCTCACCGCCGACAGCCTTTCTTCACCGCCGCAGTTGGTTTCTCATTCCCTTGCTGCCGATCGTTAGCCCCTCATTTCCTCACCGCCGCTGCTGTGCCAATCGGCTCATTACCACCGCTGTTAGTCTCTCTCTCTCTCTCTCTCTGCTCTTTCTCTGATGAATACAAAACAAAAGAATTGGGTGTGGAAAACGTGAAATCACGTGGAAATTTCAATAAACATTCTAAAGATTAGTAAGTGATTTTACACAAAAAAAGTTGAGACCCAAGTGAATCATGAAATGCAACCTAGTTTGCAGAGTGAGGCATAATTAATTGGTATGTTATCTCTCTTTAGAGTGGTTCCTTATGTTATGCCTTTCTGATTATATCATTTTTCAAGGGCTTGAAATATAATACTAAATTTATCAACAGTGTGATTGTGTTAGTATGCCAGAAAATGCTTTGCATTAACTCCTTTTATTTATCTATTTATTATGTTGTAATTATATCTTTGGAGCAACATTCCTGGTTCATCTGGCAATTGATAAATTGACAAGTATGTGCCCGACACATTAACTTTCCCCCCACTCCACTGCTTCATAGTGGTGTATCTTGGTCATCACACATGAACCAATATGAAGTTCAGAGTGAAATATGATCTATTGGCTACAGATGTTGATGCATTACTTGTAGTGTTTTTATCTTTATTGTTCTCACATGTTAACCATGTTTATTAATGCATTAATTCTAACTTTTACTCTCATATATTAATTATGTCTCTTTTTTATTCATATATTAATTATTCCTATCATCCCAATGTCTCTGTTAGAAAGCCAGCTGTATTTATCAGAAGGATATATCAGCTTTCCGAGAGGCCAGAGATTCCAATGCCCATGCATTAGTTGCTCAAGAGGATGGTCAGGGGAGTGCGATTTCTGGAGAAGGTAAAAAGTTCACAGTTTTAGTCTTAATTCATATTTTGGCAACTTAGACACCACATAACCACACTTCATGCCAAAGTATTGAGTATTGTTATTGGTACTTATCTTTGAAATTTTCCTTTTTAAAGATGCCTTTTACCAAATGAGGTCCAGCTTGGAATCTGGATGTTGGAGTTATCTTGCGGCAGCTTGTATGATTATGAATCTCTTTTAGGTAGGCATAGTGCTTTTCTTGTTAAAATAATTGAGCTACACTTTGAGAAGCTCAAGATCACCTATCCAAAAAGCTTGTTATAGCTTCTTCTCCAGCAAATGAGCTTGTGAGCTCAACTAATTTTTTGAGTTAGATTATCACTCATCCAGGCTTGACCAATACTGGGATTAACATGACTAGGCTCATGGACAGTTGAGGTAGGCATCATGTAGTTATAATGGCTCAATCCGTAAGAAATTACCTTTCAAAGAATTCTTTGGGGAGGTAACATTAAGGAACAAAGTTGAATAGAGTTGGATTTTGGAATATGTTATAATCATTAACTTGCATTATCAAGCCTAGGATTGTACGGTTCTTAGGAAGAGATGGATTTCAGATGAAGCTACTAATTAACAGGCTCAATTATGGCTAAATTGCTTAAAAAACAAAGCTGGATGGGGCTGGTTGAGTGGGAGTATTCTTGAGCACTAAGCAAATGCAGTCAACTTGTGCTTGATTCTTACAACCCTGATCTTGCATCTATTATTTAAAGCCATATACGGCACTTTAAAATGGTTTTTCATTCCTTGGGTAGGTGGCCCTTCTAGAATTTGGATTTAATGAATTGTGTTTTTAAACAAAGAGTTTTGCAAGTACTGTCTTGATATGGCTGGATTATATATGTGCTTGTTTGGTAAAATCTTATTCATGATTGTAATTTAATGTTTTTCTTTCCCATTCAAATGCTGGTATAAAATTGTTTGACTTTGATTTTGCACTTGATCAGGTTTATTGAGTGGGCTAATTGAAAGTCCTTAACCAGAATCCTAACAAAGAAAGTATTGAATGTTTAACAAGCAAATTGTGAATTTTATTGGTTTTAGTATAGTATTGTTTAACACTAAATGATGTTGCTTTGCATAATGGCAGAGTGGGTGTATGACAGCTCTTCAGGCTATTATTGTAATCAAAATAATGGTTGTTTCTATGATCCAAACTCTCTCTTCTACTACACTGATGCTTTAGGTATTGAGTGTACAAATAGATTTACTTGAGTCATTTTTATGTTGCTTCTCCCAAAATATACTTCTTGGTTATGTGTTCTTATAATAGTATTTAAACAGGTAGGTGGGTGACACGAGAAAACGCTTTTGCTGCATCTCGAGCTTCTTCAAATTTAGCTTCAAAAAAGCCCATTTTGAAAAAGCCATTGTCAGCTTTAGAGGGTAGATCAGCTTTGGAAAACAAAGGCGCTGCAAAATCTCAGAATGGAGCGCTACCTGGGCCAGTTGTTTCTGCGCCTCTGAATCCCAAGAGATCCATTAAAGGTGCTCCTTCATCTCTCACTGTTAACAAGAGAAAGAGGCAAGATGAAAAGCCCAAGGTTTTACCTGAAGAGGAAGTAGTTGCACTTAAAAAAAAGGAGGCTGCAAGGAAGAGAGTTGAGGAGAGAGAGAAGTCGTTACTTGGCCTTTATAGACAATGATTGAATCACTGCTGCAAATACTTGTATTATTGTAAGAGGTATGCTTTAACCTGTTTGTTCTTAATTTAAATTGCAATACATTAATTGGTGCACTACCCTGTCAGACAGCTAAGATGTTGGCTATGTGAGAATTGCTGAAATGCTATTTTCTTTCTGACCCTTGTAAGTTGTAACCATTTTCAAGTTCATGGTTTTGGTATCATGGTCCAACTTGTTAGAATGTACCATAGAAAATATAAAATGGTCTTGGTGTCTTGCGAATGTGTGGTTGTACTTTTACTAAAATATGGATTACTCATAATTTCATATTTGGAAGTCACTCAGCTACTCTAATTAATGCATTAGAGGATGGGTTGAAACCTTTTGCTTGGGAAGTTGGGTCATTTTGGATATGATAATAATTCTCCTTCTTTTGGTTGTGGTTGAGCGTTCCGTTGTTCAATCAGTGCTTGTGCTAATTTGATAGCTCAGAGTGCAGGGGCTTTTGAGCTTTGCTCAATATATTTTAGGCATAGATGAAGGCTGAGATTTTTTAAGCCGAGATTTAAAGATTAATTAGGACTTAATCTTATGTTTTTTTAAGTATATAATTGAGAGGTTTAACGGAATTATACCAAATTTTCTTTTAGTAAGGTTAAGACAACTGTAAATAAAGAAGATGGTGATAAACACACAGACAAATTACATTGACATCCCTTGAGGTTATTTCTTTTTTGGGTAGGTGTCCCTTGAGGTTATTGACAATAGTAGAAATCTCTTTTGTGGTTAAAGAAAAGACAAGAAACTTCCCTTCTGCTTTCATTTGTTGATTTCAGTTTTCCCCTTCTGTTAATGGACTGTTAGTGAGACAAACAGAAGTTGCCAGTGCCACTAGATATTTCATATCCATTTCCCATCTTATCCTTCTCTTTTTTTGTGTGCAGACTTTAATGCTCTCTATATTCATATGTAAAATCCTAAAATTCTCCTTACTTCATTCCCTTTCTGCAAATCTAGTCTTCCTCCCAACTCTAGTGACTAATCCACAGAATACCATTACAATACCCTCTTCGTAGTCCATTGAATACCACTGTATACTCTTATAAGAACTAATATTGTTTTTTTAACTAGTGAATTACACTTTTAACCAGATAACATCTTAATAAATCACCTTCATCACATCAATATATATGTGTAAATGCCGATCAAACGTAGTAATGACGTCCAAAATGGAGGCGACTGGTCTTTGGAGTTTGTTGTTGGTTGGAGTAATGACATCCAAAGTGAGTTGTGGAAACTTACGGAACTAGCACGGGGCTCCCGGTTCGAAAACTAAGTCCAAAAATACATTTTTTCACACTTAAAGCTTGAAAAATAGGCCATCGGAGGCTAAAATCGTGTAACAGCCATGAGATGGCCCGGGTAACACCTCAAACACCTCGGGAGGGACCAATGTGAGTTGCAGAAATTAACAGAACTAGCACGGGACTCCCGGTTTGAAAACTAAGTCGAAAAATGAACTTTTTCACACTTAAGCTTGAAAATAGGCCATCGGAGGCCAAAATCGTGCAACAGCCATAAGACGGCCTGGGAAACACCTCAAACACCTCAAACACCTCAAAAGGGACCAATGTGAGTTGTGAAAACTTACGAAATTAGCACAGGACTCCCGGTTTGAAAACTAAGTCAAAAAATGAACTTTTTCACACTTAAGCTTGAAAATAGGCCATCGGAGGCCAAAATCGTGCAACAGCCACGAGATGGCCCAGGAAACACCTCAAACACCTCGGGAGGGACCAATGTGAGTTGTGAAAACTTACGGAACTAGCACGAGACTCCCGGTTTGAAAACTAAGTTCGAAAATGCACTTTTTCACACTTAAGCTTGAAAATAGGCCATCAGTGGCCAAAATCGTGCAACAGCCACGAGATGGCCTGGGGAACACGTCAAACACCTCGGGAGGGACCAATGTGAGTTTTAGAAACTTACAGAACTAGCACGGGACTCCCAGTTTGAAAACTAAGTCGAAAAAAGAACTTTTTCACATGTAAGCTTGAAAATAGGCCATCGGAGGCAAAAATCGTGCAACAGCCACGAGACGGCCCAGGAAACACCTCAAACACCTTGAGAGGGACCAATGCGAGTTGTGAAAACTTACGTAACTAGCATGGGACTCCCGGTTTGAAAACTAAGTCCAAAAATGCATTTTTTCACACTTAAGCTTGAAAATAGGCCATCGGAGGACAAAATAGTGCAACAGCCACGAGACGGCCTGAGGAACACCTCAAACACCTCGGGATGGACCAATGTGAGTTGTGGAAACTTACGAAACTAGCACAGGACTCCTGGTTTGAAAACTAAGTCAAAAAATGTACTTTTTTACACTTAAGCTTGAAAATACGCCATCGGAGGCCAAAATCGTGCAATAGCCACAATACGGCCCGGGAAACACTTCAAACACCTCGGGAGGAACCAATGTGAGTTGTAGAAACTTACGGAACTAGCACAGGACTCCCGGTTAGAAAACTGAGTCCAAAATTGCACTTTCTTGGACTTAAGCTTGAAAACTGACCTTCGGGGACCAAAATCGTGCAATAGCCACGGGATGTCCCGGGGAACATCTCAAACACATCGGAAGGGACCAATGTAAGTTGTGGAAACTTATGGAACGCACCGGACTCCTGATTTGAAAACTAATTTGAAAAATGCATGTTAAATTGTATATTTTATAGATAAGATAATAATTGTCTAATTTGCATTTTTTTTGTTTTTTTGTTTTTTGTGTTTCATTTTTTTGCAGATTCGAAATTTGATATGGACACGTTTGGTAATTTAGAGGGCAGATGGTAGCTCATTTTGTGTTTTTGTTCATATAACCTTCCATGTATTTTGGTTGCGTTGTAAATTTTATATTTTGGTTGGTATTACATGTGAAGCCCCTGAAAAAATGTATTCTCTTTAAAAACCCTTATGTTTGAATTATTTCGAATCTTGCCGGTTAGCATTTTTTTTATTTTTATTTTTATCGAAACAGGAATATGCTAGCCGAATTAGGTTCCTTAGCTTAATTTAATTTAATTCTACATAAATAAGGTTCCAAAACATAAGTTTTATTCCAAGCCCTCATTTCTTTTATTAATTTCAAGATTTGCCCCAAAACTAGTACATGTACTTTTTATACTATTGTACCACCAAATCAATTTGAGCTCTATATATATATATACAATGGGAAATGTGTCCATAGCACCCATATATTGAATAGAATATTCTCCATTTCCCTTCCCCATGGCCGGCCAACCTAGGAGAATGTGAGGGACCAATTTTCAAGACTTGTAATTATGATATTCTAGAAGCTCTAGTACCTAGTACCCTTAAATCGAGGGTTGTGTTCTCAACACTAGTTCCATTCCAACTAGAGGCCAATTAAATATTGTCTAATCACGTGATTAAGTTCCCTAATCACTCCCTATTCCATTAGACTCCAAGTAAATCCAAACTTTTCAATCCAATTCCAACTAGTGGGCCTTTATGTCTTTTTACACCAAAATTGCCTATAAATACAACCACCCCCCTAGCATGGCATACACAAACAACACACACTCACATACATTCGGCCTAGAGGAGAGAAGGAGAGCAAGAGAGAAGTCTTGAGAGGGAGAGGAAGGAAGAGGAGAGCAATCTTGTTCAAGCCTAGCAAGTAAGCCACAACACAACTCTCTCTTTCATTTTCCTTTTTCAAATACATGTTATTAGAAGTTTAAAATGGTATTTTTAGATGTGTTCTAATGGTATTCTTGTGTTAAAAATGAAAGGAGTTGAGCCTTGATTCTACCCTTCTTGTATTTCTCTTAATCAGTATAAGACTACCTTTTTCTATATCAAACTCTCAGAATTTCCAAAGGAACACATTCACCTTAAATTTCTGGGTTTAAAACATATTATTTAGCAAGTTTTCATCACAAGATAAGTGGAAAATTTCCCCTAGTTGACCTCTTTTCTCACCAACTTTCTTGTTGCAAGAACTGTGCCAGAAAAATCTGTTTTACAGCCAACTTTCAAAAATTCTAGAAAAAAGTATAGAAATCTTATGGACCTCAGTTTTATGTCAACATCTTCCTTAAAGAGTTATCTTTCAAGTAAAATTGGTTTCATTTAAAAAGAGAGAGCGGTTTGAAAGAAAATTCAATTTTCGTAACGGTCGACGAATCTGGACATCGCTGGAGTGTTTCTTAAATAACTACAAATTTGAAAAAGCTATTCCATTTCCAAAACATGTTCTGAAAACTACATTAAATTCTCTACGAACCATAGGAAGGCTAGGTTCGGGAAATGTCTAAAATAGCCCTTTTGATTGTAATCTTTAAATGGTATTGAATTTGGAAATTTAGTTGTGCATGGGTGTTTTATGCTCTTGTGTACATGAATATGCTTATTAGTTTATGATCATTCCTTGGTATGATGTTTCATGTGTTATGGTTATGTTCCTTATCTTCTTCATTTTAATGATGCTCATGTTTATGTGGATATTACTATCTTATTGAGTTTGTTCTAACTTGACTTAAAACATTGATCCAAACGGAAAACTTAATTGGGATGGTATTGGGTTTTCGATCACTTGAATAATGAAGAGATGATAATGTGTTATGTATGGATTGATGGGATGTGCTCCCTAATTGAAGGTTAAGTCTTGCGCAAGCCGTTGTCGCGTAAACCCTGGAATGGAACGGACGTATTCAGACTCTTTGCGATAGTTTGATTGGTGAGATAAGGTTGGTTCTGGATGGGACACTCAGGAAGATAAAATTTTTTTGGAAGGATAAGGTTGGATTCAGGAGATAAAACCTTTTTCTTTTCGCTGTCCCTTTTGATGCCTTGCGGTTGGCGCTACGCGGTATATAACCGTTAGTAGGCATCCGAGGTTAGTTCTGCAACAAAGCAGCAAAAGGGGGAGTTTCGAATAGTCCGGTGTCCAATTCTTGTCGTTGGGAGGATGAAATCTCTTTGGGGAATTTCTAGAATACTAACCACTAACATTATAACCTTGTTATTTATTTGAATGACATGCTCATTTTCTCTATTATTGAAATTACTGTTATTGGCTTGGATATCATGCTTCACTACTTGTTTGCCATAAATGTGATGGTGTGTTGGATAGGGAAAAAGGGACGTGGTGTGTGTGCGTTTACTGGGCATTCAAAACTCACGGCGTTTCATGCCAGGTATTAAAGACTATTAGGCTGGTCGAAGGCAAAGCTGAAGTATTTGAGGACATATGGCTATCCTATGAGAGTTAGGAACTAGTTATGTTAAACGTGTTTTGAGATTGTAAGTGATAGATCCCATGTTGTATTTAAGACATGATTTTTGTAATTTGTATATATATAACATTTGTAACCTATCCTTATACTCTGTTAACTCATGTAGGCCTTGTGTTAATACCCTGTCAAGATCTGTCAAAAAGGTAGCTTTGCTATCTAAGGTGGTTGGACTTAGAAGGGAGACTATTTTGACTCCTCCGACCTTCCTGGTATCTTGCTTGGTTATTAGCCAAAGGACTCATTAGTGACATTTCCTACTCTTGTAATCTTAGGTAAACCCTGTATTTAATGGTTAATATATTATCTGATGTTCCCAATTTTTGGGGCGTCACAACTTGGTATCGGAGCCTAGGTTCAACCCTTACCCACGCGTTTCGACTTGCAGTTAGAGATTTCCCTGCCTCAACTATGTTATATTATTACAACACTATTTACTCTATTAACTAAAGGACATTAAAAATCAATCTTTGCTTAACCGACCTTAGGATGTTTCTTCGGATTTCGGGCATGGCAACGTCGGCTCGTGAAGCTATATAGTGGTGGTCTAGCAATTCCATCGTTGGAATCGGAGAGCTGAAGAAAGCATATGAATTTAAGACCAACAGAATCAAACTTTCATAATGAAGAAGGAGAACCTTGATCAATAAATCAAGACATGTAGTTTGTCCAGAACAATCAAGAATGGTGATGGAATCGGTAATTGAGTAGGACTATGTTAGGAAGCATTAGAAGCATTTCACCTTAGAAATTCCCTTAACTAACCGCGTTAGTAAAACCTTAACCTGCACCTAACTGTATGTTGGCAGATGGTGAACCACACACGAGCAAACAATTACACTGGTACCAACGACAACACCAACCACAACGATGACGCCAATATTAACAGGAACAACACAGCCGTTATCAATAATCACATTCCTACACCCACAGCCAACCTACTCGGGAATATCAAAAATCGAATTTTGGAAGAATTAGGAAGGCTTAAGAGCACACGACAGAATGAGAGGACACATCTATTCTCCGAATTTCACAAACAGAGACCGTCGATCTTCACTGGTGAGCCCGATCCTAAGATCGCTGAAAATTGGATTCAAAAAATTGAGAAGATGCTGGAGGCAATGGGAATAGTCGGGCATATAGACAAGATCGCTCTGGCCATTTACCAGTTGGAAGGTGAGGCAGACCATTGGTGGGCGTTAATCAAGGAATCTAGGGACATCACGACTATGACTTGGGTGCAATTTAAAGAATCATTTCTGAGGAAGTACTTCCCACACACTGTTAGACAGGAAAGAATTCGTGAGTTTCAATTGCTAGAGCAATGCACGATGACGGTGACCCAATACGTGGCGAAGTTTGAGGAATTAGCTCGTTATGCGACTCGATACGTAGCCGATGACGATGAGAAAGCACGAAAAGTTGAGTGGGGTCTAGACCCTATAATCAGAGGAAGGGTTTTATCGTTGTGACTTCCTACTTATGCAGATGTAGTGGACACAGCACTAGACGCAGAACGGGAGGTGGGAGATACCAGACGGATTTGGAGCTTGAAGAAAAAAAATCAATCCCATGTGGGACCAGAAAGAAACAGCCGAAGATATGCAATACCAAAACCGTACTCTAGGGCACAACTACAATAACAACAACTGCAACAGCAGTACCAAAAGGAAAGCTTTCAAACAAGATTAGCTTGGCCGATCCAGTGTTATTATTGTCATCAACAGGGGTACAAGAAGAATGAGTGTCCCCAACTCGTCCAGTCAGGAAATCAAGGAGAAGGTACGAAAGCAAATGCACAAGGGATTGACGAGCAGAAGACATGGAAGAACAAGCCAAGTCCAGCCAGTCAACAATACCAGAGGGAAGGAGGCAACAAGTGGCCTGGGCTCAATAATAATCAGAGGCCAATTGGCAGAATATTTCAACTACAAGAAGAAGAAGACGAAGATCTCACTAAGCAGTACCCTGAGAGTGAGAAATACAGCGCATATGAACTCGAGGAACTGTAGTACGAGCCTTGGTTAACCTAGAAAAAATGTAACTAAGTAGTTAGAACTCCTTTGGAATGACTTTTTGTAATCTGAACGTAGATGGTGTAAATTTCCCTTATTAAATCTAGTCTTAGAATTTTTGGTTACACATTTTATTTGTCGTATTCCTTTATATCTGCAATTTGTGTTAAGACATAGGAATTATTTTTGCAATTTTGAAGGCACCCGACTGCGACCTCATCTTAGAAATAGATTCGTTACTCGTACCTTAGCAATTATCGATAGTTACCAAAAGAAGGAGATGACTTACCCATCCAATGGAACGCTTTTATTATTTAAGGGGGATAGATTAGTTTCCATGATTCAACACAACAATTTGACAAACGCAATGGCATCAGCAAATTACCAAGGGATCAATTCTTAGCAAGAGCATAAATCACCAAATCAGGAATTCAGCAATACAAGCCCTCACACTGGAGCAGCAACATCATTACCCATATAGTGAACAGTTCAAGAAGCGCGGGAGATTAGCTTATCTCCTTAGTCATTAATCAGGGAGGAATTCGATTCAAAATGCTATTATTAGAATAAGACTAATGGTGGCTTGGACAAAGGAAGAAGAACTTGA